CAGCACTGCTAAGGAATCCTAAGACAGCTTTGAGGCAATGAGCATTGACAACAGGTCAGTTTGTTTTTTTCAGCCAATGTCTTGCCTCGGAGTACGGTTGACCTTTCTTCGTCCGTTCCAGTCACTACAATTGTTTAAAGTGATGCCTCACAGATTTTGAACATGGGTTTCCTGTGGGCAGGACAAATTGCTAGCAATATTAGGTGTGTGTGTGTGTGTGTGTGTGAGAGAGAGAGAGAGAGAGAGACAGAGACAGAAAGAGACAGAGACAGAGACTGATCGATAACACATTGAGGTTGAGAAGGGAAGAAAGAAAAGAAAAAATTGTAGTGTCTTACCGCTGATGATCTGTAGATTTCAGTGCTTAATAAATGCTGCTGTGTTGAACTAAAAAACACAGCAGAATTAAAAAGCTGTGCTAGGACCACCATATTCCTTTCCTTGTTTGGTGGACTCTTCAACAACCAAGTCAGCACCATGCAATCATGCCCATTGCCACAGAAACGCTGGCAATAGGAGGGAGCATCTTGGAAGCTGATGTCTTTGGAGATAATTTTGCTCTTTCTTGTCTTTAGGTTCTGTAGTTCTTTCTAGTCCTGGATTTATTAACTTTGCTTCACACCAAGGTTATTAGCAGTACCCATAACCCTGGGCCAGGCACTTTCTAAATGGAGGGACCCCTCAGAGTATGATTGGCTTCACATTAAACTGTTACCACTATTGAAGTCACATAAGGGTCTCCTGAGTTCCGCCCAACATAGCCATGGTCAGTAATGAATGGAAGGTGACATATGCCATCTTTCCCTAAGGGCTGGGCTCTTATTCCTGTTAAGCAACAAATTAATCAAATAAATACTAATTGAATGTCTATTGTGCCACTCAGTATTTGGAGGCAGCCTATCGCCCTTTGATACAACAGGACATTTAATTCTGACTTGAGCTTGGACCTGCTCTTGCTCCAGAATCACTTGATTTCTCTTAACTAAATTTGTTTCTTCCTCTAGGAATTGAAGACACTAACTCTGATCTTAGTATTCATGGAACAGTAGAGAAATGGGATAGTTATGAATTGGTGTAAGAAATTCTTTCAGTCATTGAGTTCTCAAGTTATTTTGGACCGCATGGATATTTTTCTCTCATTCTAAAGGTATGAAACATTTCACACCAAAAGAAAAGAATAGAGAGTAATATTGCAATAACTTGGATATCCACTATCCAGTTTTGCTAGATATTAATGTTTTTCTGTAGTTGTTTCAGAACTTTGTTTTTCAAAGAAATTGAGCTTTGTACTTAATCCCAATTCTATGATGTGACTTAGGAATGAGTTGGTTATCTCGTGATACTAAATGCAGTAAAAGTTTGGGCTTTGAGAGGGAGGGAGGTGACTACAAGTTCCATATTCTGTTGCAGAAGAATTATAAAATATGGTTAATAGAAATTCTAAAATATTTTTAACAGAGTCTATCAATTGTATTCATCAGAGTTTAAGTGGATCTTAATTTCCCTAACCACTAAAATTTTTGGAAGATTTTGCAAGTCTTTCCAACTACAAGATAAAAAATTCATCTATCATTCTAACTGTTGTCCTTGCCTTCCACAAATTAGCATATCCAAATGATCATCAGGCACTTAGAATTTAATAATATGACTTATTCTTTTGGTATCGCTCCTTAGAAAGGCAAAAGCTCAATGTCCCTTTTCTATTTTGGCTTGGTTTAACAATTTCCTAGGTTGTTATTTGAAAAGAGAGAGATGTGTGAATATTAACTCAACCTCATTAATGAATGGCTACTGAGCTGAAAAGTTGAGTGGGCTGTTTCACTTGAATCAGAAAGTTGTTTTGTAGCATATTCATTCATAGAGCAAACCAAGCTAGTAATGATTTATAGCATTTGGAACATGCAAAACATGCGAATAATAGTGGACATATTTTGAAAGATTAAAGATAACCCTAGCAAATACTAAGATTTTCCACTCTCATTATAGATACTATTAGAAATCATTGTGTCCAAGGACAAAAATCATGTCATACATAGCATGTGCTTACATCAATGCAAGAGAGAGAACAGTCAGTTGAGTTCAATTTAGATGACAACAGTGCCCAATGCACTCAGTTGGAAACCATGAGAAGTTCAAAGATGACTAACATACAGCTATCTCGCCATCAGGTGATGTAGTCAGGGAAACAGGTGTGTGCAACTCAACAGAACACAAGTTAGTAAGTACCAAGTGCTATAACAGATGTACAAGGTAAATTCCATGTAATCAGTGAACACACTTTGCTAATGCAGCAACAATTTATGTGGCAAGTATTGAGTAATCCATTCGAAACGCCAGGAGTGCAGGGAAGCTCAAGATGTGATAGTCTTTGATTTGGTCTTGAAAGATAGCCAGCATTTCAGTGGGAAGAGAATTGGGAATAACAGTATAGGTGAAATAGGGAAAGAGGCAGGACAATAGGAAACTGGTACAGAATGAACAAATGGCATAAAGATGGAGTGAGTTTTGAATTTCCATAAAGATTTATCTAGAAGTCTAGTCTTGAGCGCCTTACCTTCCATATATTTCTCTCTTCACTGTGATCTAGACTTGCTTGCTCAAATGGCTCCTGGACAGGTTATTAGTGATATTTCCACTCTAAAACTAATGAACACTCTAGTCCTCATCTTATTTGACTTTTTGGCAACACTGTCATCCACTTGCCTTCTCACTCATCCCTTGGCTTCCGCAACACCTTGTTTTTCCTCATTTTACTCTGATCTCTATTCTCATGTCCCTTTTCTCTGGCCATCCTTTCTTGCCCCAAGTATTTTTGCATACTTTTTCTCCTGTATTAATAACAACCGTTCCCCTTACCGTATCTGAATAATTCTTATTCAGTTTCAGATCTCTACTCAGTTATTACTTCCCTTAGGAAACATTCCCCAAATCTTGCCCCTGTGCAGTTAGGAACCTCCAGGTGATTGCTCATGGTACCTAGGTTAGTGTTCATGTCCTAAGTCAGTACTTACCAGGCATTGTTTCACTGATTGTATCATTTAATCTAAACACAGAAGTCATGTCCTCCATGATATTTCTAACACTCAGGACAGTGTTGGGCTGCTACCAAGTGTTTAATAAATATTTCTTGAATGAATAAATGGCTTATTCAGGGGCCATCCAGAAATTTGGGCTGGTTAAAAGAAGGTGTATGTAAGAATAGGTGAAGGGAAAAATAGGTCAGGAGAGAATCTTGGGCTTAACTAAAATGTTTTAACTCCATTTTATAGGCAAAATACTTGGAAGAGCCCTCAGCCTGAAAATGACATGGTCTAGCATTAGCCTAGTAGTCTGTTTTGTTGGCTGGTATAGCCCATGAGGTGAAGCATACGGGACAGTCTGGTTGCACAACTGTAAAAACAGAATAGTGATTTATTGAAAGGGCATGGTGACCAAATGTATATTGGGACGATGAAAGAGAGAAGGGCATTGGAAGTAACTCTGATCATTCTCATCTACCTTTCACAGAGAGAAGGCATGCAGAGGGAGAGCCAGAAGAAGGATGAATGAGCTCATTTTTGAGATAATTTGCTGGACCTGGTAGGATGTTATGGGGATAGCATAGAGACGTTTGGAAATTCCAGCCTGTAGTTCTGAGAAATTTTGGGCAAGAGACGTGGATTAGAGAGACATTTGAAAAGAGGTAATGGTTGAAGTTGTGAAGTTCACCAGAGAGAGAAGACAAAAGGAAAAGAGTTAAGGGCTATACATGGGACCTTGAAGAAATCCTACCTTTTTGGTGGAGGGACACAAAGATAGCAGAGAATGAAGAAAGAGTTTTTCGAAAAGGAGAAGGTAGTCACATTCAAATATTGTTGAGATCAGAATCTTCAGAATATGGAAAAATAATTTGAAAGTTGGTAGATTGCAGAACAATGATGGAGAGAAGGTGATAATCTGATATGGGTTTCAAGAGAGGAGAGACAGTTAAGTTTAGAAAGTGAAAAGCAACGCAAAGATGATCCGGAGGCAACAGGGGAGTAGAAGGCTATGAGAACGTGCCCCCTTCATGACTTTGAGGTAAAGGAGAAATGGAAAAAGAAAGTAAACTCTATTCAAGAGGGTGAAAAGCCAGGTTAAAGAGAGAGTTAGGTTTTCAGGAATGGAATTAAGTGGAAGAAGGAGGAAAAGATGAAAGTGTTTAGGGCAAAGGTCCACAAAGTGTAAAGGAATTTATTAACAATGGAATAAGAGTCTCTAAGGTTAGAGTAACAAGGTTTAACCAGTCAATAAATTTCCACTGGGTCAAGTCAACCTGACATCATAGTGCATCTCATCAGCTATTTGCCCCGGTATGTAAATAATGGGTCTGTCAACTTTTATCATAGTTAATTACATGCTTCATCAAGATAATATTTAGTCATCAACATTCCACAATCCTGATTCTAGTTTTTCTGGAGAACCATCCTCCTATTATTTTCTTTAAATGTACTTATTGTTTTCTTATCCTTATTCTCAACAGTAATATCCCTGAAATTACTGGTTCATATTTACATTTTTATACACTACAAATGAAGTACATAACTTAAAATACGAACTGTTTATAGAGGTAGAGCATGGGAACTGGCACCCAACAACTTGTGGCAAATCTTATCTCCATCACTTACTAGCTGTGTGACCTTGGGTACCTCACTTAACCTTTCTGTGCCTCAGTTTTCTCTTACATAAGGTGAGAATGCTGGGTGCTCCAGCCCACTATGATCTTCTTCTCTCAAACTTTTTGGTAGCTCTTTCTATATTGTTCTCTGTACAACTTATTTGTCCTTTGTTAAAGAACAAAAATTCAATGGAGTAAACTTGAAGATCTAATTGGCTTTATTAAGTGATTTGTGAATCAGGCAGCAAGAAGAGGAAGCTCCTAGGAGTTGTACAGAATGAAGATTTTTATAGGTAGAGTGTAGGGCAAAGAAGCTATTAGCAAAATAAATAATAAAATAAAATAAAATAAAATGATGTTCTATGCAAAGTCACCTTGGAAAGGCAGGGGGGTCTTATTAGGTAGATTACCTCATCTTTCTTTCTTTGGGAGGGCTCATATGACATATGACTAATGGAGCTGATCAGAAAATTCCTGACTGACCCCCTAAGATTACATTCCTCTGGGAGGTTGAAACTGACATTAGGTTAGATATCAAGCCCCGGTCTGGTTACCTGGCCTAAGTGAAGCCATTTGGGGCCCATGGCTTGCTTGCTTGCTTTCTTTCTTTCTTCCTTTCTTTCTTTTTTTTTTTTTTAACGATTTTATTTATTTATTTGACAGACAGAGATCACAGGTATGCAGAGAGGGAGAGAGGAGGAAGCAGGCTCCCCGCTGAGCAGAGAGCCCGATGTGGGGCTCTATCCCAGGACCCTGATATCATGACCTGAGCCGAAGGCAGAGGCTTTAACCCACTGAGGCACCCAGGTGTCCCCGGTGGCTTTCTCTTAAACACCGCTGTCATCTACTACCTTCACTCTTTTTCCCCCCGAGAAAATTGCTGAGTGCTTATGACGTGTGTCACTGGGGGGTACCTTCTCTGCATGCGCAGAAAGTTTTTGTGCCCTGAGCAAGCCTTCTTGCTTGAAGAAGCCACAGACTTCAAAAGCAGTCCTTTGTGGTCTTTCAGCTCTTCGATCTTTGTTGAATTAAATTTGGGGAACCAAAAAGAGCCCCATTTCCAGTTCAAGCTCAAGGCATATGCTGGCTTTTACACAAAGAGGGCTGAAACTCTTCTGGAATCTGTGGACTGCCTGGTTAGATAAAGTCTTCTGAGATAGAATTAAAAGGGAAGTTTCCAAAGGGATTTCAAAGTTTTTACTATAAGCAGCTGAGGAGCCTATAACTGAGTCTGAACTTTGCTTTGACTCCTGGCCTTCAGGGCTGCCTTTGAATAAACACCACCCACTTCTTTGACTTATCTCTGAAATACAAAGAACCTGTTTGTACTTCAGGGTCCTCACTGCCTGAATTCTAGAAAGGAGAAAGTGCAAGAGATGAACACATCTTACAGCACTCAGGACCTGGATTTCAACATATAATGGATTTATTTATTTATTTTAAGATTCTGTGTATCAGTACTGTTCAGCGTAAATCCAAATCAATACTAATCAACAATACTTAATTATGAACTGGATTTAAACTAAGTTCTAACTAAGCATTACTGGACATCGATAACAAGCTGTCATTTCATACATGTCATCACATTTAATGATATTAATCTTCACAACAGACTAGTGAGATAGGTATTATTAATCCTGTTCTAGAAATAAAGATACCAAGACTCCAGGTCACTTAGCTAGTATCTTGTTCTGCTTATAACCTGAAGAAAATACTTTAAAAAAATACCATTTTCCGGGTGCCTGGGTGGCTCAGTTGGTTAAAGCCTCTGCCTTCAGCTCACGACATGATCCCAGGGACCTGGGATTAAGCCCCACATCGCATCGGGCTCTCTGCTCAGCGTGGAGCCTGCTTCCCTTCCTCTCTCTCTGCCTGCCTCTCTGCCTACTTGTGATCTCTGTCTGTCAAATAAATAGTCAAAAATCTTTAAAAAAAAAAAACATTTTCATACAGTGAAACTCAGGTATCGTGAACAACTGCAGAAACAGGTACCAAGTCATATTTTTATAGCTGTAAATTAAGGGTAGGGAGATGAACTGTCACCTTCTTGAGCCCACAGGCTATTTCTTGCTTTGCTTTTTATCCCTAGATTCCAGTGTGAAGAGAAGTTTTAATAAATGCTTGTGGAATGATGTGGGTAAATACTAATGATTTCCTTGGGCCTTGGGTAAATGTATACATTTGCAGGAAAAAATAGAATCCCAAAATTGGAAGGGATCTTAGAGCCATCTGCACCAGTGGTTCTCAAGATTTAACATGTAGCTTTAGAATCCTCTGGAGAGTTTGTTAAAACACAGTTTGCTGTGCCCCAGCCCCCCAGAGTTTCTGGTTCACTAGGTTTGGGGTGGGACTGAAAATGTGTATTTCTAACAAGTTCCCAGATGAGGCTGATGCTGCTGGTTCAGGGACCACACTCTGAGAATCACTAAATCTGCTACAACAGTAACATTCATCAAGGGCTTATTATGTGCCAGGCACTGTGCTAAGTGCATTAATTACATTATGTCATTTAATCCTTACAATAATCTAAGGGTGGTGATGTTATTAGTATCTCCATTTTATTTATAAGAAAAACAAGACAGAGAGGTTGTCTTTTGTCCAACTTCACTCTTCTACCCAGTGGTGGAAACAGGGTTCGGAGCTCAGGGGGGTCTGATGCTAGGTCTGGCACCATCATTCACGTGATGGCATAGGACCTCCCAGGGTGAACTTCTCCTTGCGTCCAGGTGCTTAGCTCAGAGTCATGCAATGAATTGAAAGGCAAACGTGAAGGAGGACACAGGCTTCCTAAACCAGGATGTTGTAGGCTACCTTCTATGTCTGACACAGAGCACGAGGAGCAAGCAAAGACTTCACTCCCTCTTCCAATTTGGATTCCCAAGGCGGTCACCTTCTGATCCGTGTGAGTGGCACAGATGCCTTTACGGTGTTCTGATATTCTAAAGGTTCCCCCCACTTACCCACTATTTCATCTGACTGAAGTAGGTGATGGTTGCTGTGTAGGAAAGAGTAGGGGGCAATGGATGCATTCTGAGGACGGAGGCAACGCTTTTCCTCCAGAAAGGAAAGGGGTTAATCATATTGGAGAAAGGCTAGAGTGGGTGGAAGGAAATGTCTTCATGTGTCTTGGCAAGTCCTTAGTTATATCTCAACTAACAAGGGGAGGTGAACCATGAGAGACTATGGACTCTGAAAAACAATCTGAGGGTTTTGAAGGGGCAGGGGGTGGGAGTTTGGGGGAACCAGGTGGTGGGTATTGGAGAGCGCACGGATTGCATAGAGCACTGGGTGTGGTGCAAAAACAATGAATACTGTTACGCTGAAAATAAATTTAAAAAATTTTTAAAAAAAGAAAAAAAAAAAAAGAAAATCCAGCTCTTAGGGATTTCAGGTCACTGTACTTTGACCTCCAAGTCTCCCTGGGATGCTGGGAAGGAAAATTAAGAATGTTTGGTTAGTGGAAGATTGGGCCCAGGAGGGCTCATAAATCTTAAAATCAGTCCCCCAGAGGCTCTATCTATCCTTAGCTGTGCTCTACCCATTGCCCCAAAGTGTTCCCTCTTCTGGGGCAGCTGTTGGACAAATATTTACAAAGAGAGGCAGCACTATTCACTGGACAGAGCGCTGGCCTTGGCCAAATGCCTCCTTGCCACTGACACCTTCATGAATCTGAGGAGGACGGTTATCTTTCAGAGCTGGCTTCCTGGGTAATAAAAGGGTGTGTCATAAATAGAGTAATGACCTCCCCCAAATGTCCATATCATAATCCCTGGAAGCTGTGAATATGCTACACTAAATGGTAAGAGGTGATTTTCAGATGTGATTAAGGGTCTTGAGATGGGTAGATTATCCCATGTTAACTAGGTGAACCCGTTGTGATTACAAGGGTCTTTATAGGTGAAAGAGGGGCAGAGGAGTCTGCATTAGAAGAGACGAGACCACAGTCACTGAGGCTGGAGTGATAGGGTTGCTGGCTTTGAAGCTGGAGGGGACCACTAGCCTGGAAACCCAGGTAGCCTAGGGATACAAACTGGAAAAGTCAAGGAACTGATTCTCTCCCTTGAGTCTCCAGAAGATGCACAGCCCTGCTGAAGCTTTGATTTAGTCCCTTAGGAACTATTTAAGAATTCTGATGTACAGATACTGAAAGATTATATATATTTGTTTTAACCTGCTAAGTCTGTGATAGTAGCAGTGAAACTAATGTAGGAGGTGAATGATGCTTTGCTTGTCTGCTTCTTAGGGTTGCTGTGAGAGTCAAATGAAATCATTTATGTTATATCACTTTATTAAATATGATAACCCACCATCCAAATACAGGTTTCCCTGCTACCCATAACTGGAACGTTCCTATGAAATCTTTCCTAATATGAATGGCATAATGGGAGGAAACAATCACCATTAATTTATATGCAAAATTTTTTGAGGGTTCCCAGGTGCCCCAGATAATCTCTCTTAGACCTTTCTGATACTTCAGGACACATCTTGCTAATGCATGGAAAGGGTAAATGGAAATAAAGCACAGATGCTCCCAGACACAGTTCAAAGTTCTGTCAGCTTGGTGCTGGGATGTTGAGTGTAGTTCCTGAGGAAGGAGCTTGGCGGGACCACTCTTCCTGCCCGGGGTTCGCTGTCTTCATAACAGCTTGTTGAAAAAAAACAAACGTTGAATGCTATTTTTGCATTTCTCCTTTTTTAGTAAATACAAAAATTCTCTTTGGATTTCTTTCAGTTAACAAAAAAAAGGACTAATATAGGTCTTGTGTAAAAGTCAAGTGGCCTAATGCAAACTTTTGCAAACTGGGGGATACCTATAGAAGGCCCTGTCATTCTCAGCATTAGAATGATTAATTGAGACAGGAACCATGGATGGATAAGCAGAGTGGTGTGTTGGTAAAAATTTAATAACCACCTCTTGAGACAAAGATTAGGTACTGATTTGTAGCATTTACCTATTACCTCAGTATAAATATTCCCATGATGGCTGAGTTCAATCTACAACATGAAGTCACAGAGCCAAGAGTTGGGGGAAGATGGACAGATCAGCTCTTACACGACTATAGAAGCTCAGATTCTGTCCCCACCACAAAAAAGAATGCATGGAAAATGCTCATTTCTGGGGTGGGGGATGGTCTCAAGTTAATCCTCACCTAGGAAGTCCAGAACATTACAGTGAGCTAGTGGTACCATCAGGGAAATAACCTGCTTCCAGAATCTGCACTGGGTTGGAGTTTGTGATTTTCTGCATGGGAGGATCTCTGCCTTGAATAAGGGAAGATCAAGAGGGAATGTGGTCAAAGGTAAAAATTTCTAATTGTAAGATAAATAAATCCTGGGATGCAATGTACAACATTGTGACTGTAGTTAACAATACTGTATTGTATGTTGAAACTTGCTAACAGAGTAGATCTTAAGGGTTCTCATCATAAGAAAAAATTTTTTAACTATGTGAGGTGTGGGATGTTAATTAAACTGGAGATGATCATTTTGCATTATGTAGATTTATTAAAAATTTATCAAATCATTGTATTGTATGCCTTGGACCAATATTAATACAATATTATAGGTCAATTACATCTCAGTAAATTAGAAGAAAAGAGTCAAGAGAATCCTTACATAGCCTCAGGAAGAATTCAAGTTTGGTTGAAGGAAGTTCTTAAATACAAAGTCTGTCTCTATTAGGTCAGATTCCCACAGAGAAAACAAATTGGGGGATCTGGGAGACAGGTACTCTTGAATTGTGGCTCCTTGTTTGGGGTTTTAGGGAGATTCCATCCAGCAAATATAAATTGGACACACACAGTGTTCCTGTACTGTGCTCATGAAAAGGTGTAACAATAATTAGACATGGTCCCTGTCTTCAAGGAGCTCACAGTCTATAGTAGAGTCATCACTCAGGTCTCATACTTATGTCATCATCACACATAGATGTCATCACTTGGGTCTCATATTTATGACATCATCCCACTTAGATGTCATCACTGGAGTCTCATACTTAAATTTTTTGCATAATCATGGGTTACTGAAACTTAAATTTTCTAGTTGAAAATTTTAAATATTAAGTACAGAATTGGAATTTGGCTGGATATAAAAGTAACCCAACTTCAGTGCCTTAACCCAACAGGAGATAGTTTTACATGTAATAAAGAGATGACAATCAGAAAGTTCAAGACAAGGACAGCTGCTCAATGAAACAGCGTTTTTCTTCTTCCTTCCTCTCCCATGCATAGTAGCTTTATGGTCCAAGGTATCTATACCTCCTCTAGCCATTTCACTGGGCTTCCAGAGATGGGGTGATCCAAGAGTAGTGAACAGAAAAGACATCTGCCAACCATCTGACCCTTTTTATCAGGAAGACAATAGTTTCTCTTAAATTCTTATTCAGTAGACTTTTGTTTTCATCCTATTGGCCAAAACTGGGTCATATACCACCTATAACTGCGAGGGATCTAGGAGATGAATATTTTTTAACTACAAATATTGCTACCTGAACAAAAGTTGGGTTCTGTGAATAAAGGAAAAGGATGAGATAGTCGAAGCAAGTGGAAAAATCCATCGCCTGGATCAGTCTCATTTAAGACACATCTGTATAATCACGTACTTCTGGGCCAGTTTGGCTAACACATGTTAAATACAAATATTGAGATTAAAATACAAAAATTTGTTAAAATACAAAATATTGAGATTAAAACCTTAAATGAATAGCTAGGAAGAATTTAAATAGCAAACGTAGGAAACTGAACTGCAACTACCAGGGGTTTTTTGGATTGCTTTGCGGGGATTGTAGAATTTGCTGAGTTCTTTCCCGGGCCACAGGGTTAGCCCAGGCTTCAGATGAGAGATGATTTGCAAGGGCATGTGGCAAAAACTGGCTCTGAGATGTAGGATCAGAAAGCAGGAATTAAAAAGAAGTTTTTTTCAAAATTGAGGTATAATTATATACACTAAATTGCATAGATCTTAAATGTACTATTTGATGAGTTTTAACAAATGTATGCCCTCTGAAACCAATACCTCAAATGAGACCTGACTATTTTCACCACCCCAGAAAATTACCTCATGCAATTTCTAGTCAACCTTTTCTCCACCCAGGTATAATAATATTCTGATTTGTGTCCCCATAAATTAGTTTTGCTAAGCATGGTTCTTTGAGCCACATTCAGGGTGGTCAGGGTAAAAACAATTATTTTTTTTTTTAGAGAGAGAGAGCAGGGGGAGGGGCAGATGGAGAAAGATGCTGTGGGTGGAGCCCTATGGCGGTCTCCGTCTCACCACAATCATGACCTGAGCCAAAACAGAGAGTGGGATGCTTAACTGACTGAGCCATCCAGGCATCTCCAGGGTAAAAATATTTTAAGAGAGTTTAACATCAGAATTAAAGAAGAAACTTGCCCACTTTTCAAAGATACAGAGTACATGACACCTAGCAGATTCTGGCAAATGGCAGTTTCTTTGGTTAGGTTGCTAACCTGGACTGTCCTTTCTCTGACCAGTTAAGTTTTCATTCAATACCCAGCCTACAAGGAGCCAATTTCCTAAAGGGGTGTCCTCCCCCCAGGGAACACCATGCATGAAGCTCTTTAATATTGAGATTACCAGCATGGTTTTTAATGGGACAATTTCCTAACTCCTTCCATGGCTTCACATGGATGAGTAAGCAGGCTGATGCCTACATGGTGGGCAGGTTTGCTCTTCGGGATGAGAAACTCTGTGAATTAAGGTACCCTTAATGACTTATTGGTAATGAGCAGACGAGACGCCACTCATGGTTTGTCCATTTTCCCTGCCCTGGGCCCTCCCTCTGCCAACAACTCCCCCAACTCCACCCTCCACAGGTGGAACAACTGGGTGGAAAGACATTTTTGAAACCAAGATAAGGTTAGAATGATTGTTGCTGTGACCCAGGCTTCAACAGGAAAGCTTTTTCCTAGTAAGCACTATCATGGATGAGCTTGTTAAACCGCATTTCTCTTTTTCTCTGACTTTACAGTGGAGATGTACACTTTTACAGCTTTTTTGGTAAAAACCAGGACCAAGCAGATGCAGTGCCTGGAACACTGATGTCTCATTGAAGTCAAATGCATCTTTGGCCAATAAAATGCGACCAACCCCTTTGGTTCCCAGCCACACTAAGTTACATGTACTGCGAGTTTCCACCCAAGGTATGGGTGTGGAAGTGGTGGAGTCAGCATTTGGCCAATTGACCAGCATTGTGACCCCTGCGGTGGTCTTCACCCACAGCCCCCAGAGTTTCTGGAATCCCTCTATTAGTTGTGGTTTGGGCATGCAGTGTCCTTGGAAGGTTGTATCTTTCCTTCCCAGCTCCTTCACTGGGTCTTAATTAAGCCCACAGGACCCAGCCTGGTATTCTGGTCCCTGGACAGTCTGTTCCCAACCAACTGTTGTCACTGGCTTCTACCCTGAGCAGACCTCATTCTTCTCTAACTAGTAGAATGTGATAGGCATGGACTCAGGAGACAGAAAAACCTGGGTTCTAATCCAGCTCTAATCATTATTCCTAGCTGTTCTAAGCTACAACTACTTTTCCCCACCCCCATGCCCTTGCTTACATCATTATCTTGACCTGAGAAGCAGTCTCTCTCTACTCCTCATATAGGCAAATCCTATTCATCTTCCAAGGTCAAACACAAATACCACCTTTAGCCCTTCCTAACAACTAGGTGAGATCTCTCCTCCTGAATTACCTGGACCCAAATCTGTTTGTCATTTTCCATATCTTGATTTTAATTGTTCCTAGAGCTTTCTCTCTTCTGTATTTCTACCTTGATTCTCTGTCATAGAACCTGTCACATAATAGGGTTGCCAGATAAAATACAGGACACCCAGTGAAGTTTAAATTTCCAATAAACAATAAGTAAATTGGTTTAGTATAAGTATGGCCCATATTGCATGGGAAATATTTATATTAAAAATTCCCATGATTTATCCGAAATCAAAATGTAACTGAACACCCTGTATGGCACACACACTAAATCTGGCAGCCCTTCACACCTGACTTTTTTAAACGAATAGCTGGGCTCTTGCTTCTCTGGCGCCTCCACTGGGTCCCACATTATGTGACAGTAGCAATCTTGTCTTATTTATCTTTGCATCCCCCATCGTTTTTTCCTTCAAGCAGTTGTTTGGGAAATCTTCATTGACCAGTGTAGGGACTGTCACACTTGCAGATCTGAACATAAAGCCCAGTTTCTAAGAGCCTCAGCTTTGGAATCAGATGGACCAGAATGTGTCATGTTCCCATCCCTGGACTAACTATGTGTGCCTTAACAAGTTACCCTGTTCTCATATATGCTCATCTGTAACATGGGAAGAAGAATTTACCTATTCAAAAGGCATTACCTACCTTCCTTCTCAATATGCATATAGAGGACTTAGCACAGTGTCTGGTCCATAGGAAAGACTCATTCGTTGGTAGCTCTTCCTACTGGAAATGATAAAACACATTCAGACCAGCTAGCTTGGCTTTAGCAGCAACTACTTTGCTACAGACAGTCAAGGCTATATAAAGGTACTAACTGTATGGAGTTTGGAAACAAAATGCAGGACGGATCCTAGTCCTCCTCTGGAGAGAGTTCTTCACTCCTTTGGTTTCCCTTTTCAGTTTCCTAGGTCAAGGACCTGTTCTGTTCTCAGGCCGAGGCACTTGTCCGCCCTGCTAAGATGTCAGTTCATCTCTTGCATTAAGCCTGCCTTCCCCGGCATGCTGAGATGTCATAGCTCCTCACCAAGCCTTTCGTGACTATGTTTTACTTTCCTGTTCTCCCTTTCCCCTGGTCCTGGGGACCTAGTTCCCCAACCAGAAATTATTTGCAGCTTCCTTTGGATAACACAGTTGTGTGTGTGTGTGTGCATGTGTGCATAGATACGTGTGTAACGGAAGAAAAGGGTTGTTGTAGTGTCTCCTAATTCCCCAGGCACAGTTGTGTGGGTGGCCATTAGCAAAATCACTTAAATTGGAGAGATATTTATTACTACTAGACTATGTGAACAGAACACCCTCGGTGACTTTAATGGGGGCTCTATGCTCCAGCAGGCATTATGACAGATACTTTGCTTATATTGTCCCACCAAATAATCACAACAGCTCTATGCGGTAGATGTTCTCATCTCAATTTTGTGAATGAGGAAACAGAATGAGAAAGATTAGTAACTTCCCTTAAGGTCACAAGGCAGGTAACTTCTAGCTGCCGTTCAAACCCAGTGCCCTGACTCCAACCCTCAGGGTCTTCCTCCAGTGCCAATGGTTCTTTATCCTAGTTACTCATTAGAATTAACCCAGGACCCAGAGAACTTTTCCAATGTACTGATGTCTAGACCCCCACCCCAGAAATTCTTATTTAATTATTTTTGAGAATCATTGCAATCATTGAGAATCGTTGGTCCACCATCAACCCATATGTTGGGACATGAATTAAATTGGGTCCTAAAATTTCCCTATGATTTTTATTGAAAACATTTTTGTCTCAATTGTTGTAGATTGATCCCAAGTATATACATGCTCCGTATACCTATAGCAATGTGGGTATAATAGAAACGCCAAAGTAGAAGCAATAATCCATGTTGCTTTAAAGAGTCTTTAAAAAAGTATTTTGATAAACCCTCCCAAGTTTATTTCACATTGCTTTTTTTTTTTTTTTTTTGAGGAAACTTTGCTGCGATTTATCCAGTTTCCAGAGATTTGTTTCTTTTTGGCCAAACTTTACTCTATGAGCTACCTCATCTTTCTTTAGGCCAGGGTGGAGCAGGCCACGGCTAGATGATTTGTTTTCTGTGCTCAGTTGAATTTGTCTTCCCTTTTGTTTTTATTTTAGTCTAAGGATTTTTTTTGCTTTCAATGTACCCTAGAAAGTCTTCTCCATCAAAAAACTGTCATGGGGGGTGCCTGGGTGTCTCAGACGTTTAAGCGTTTGCCTTCAGCTCAGGTCATGATCCCAGGGTCCCGGGATACAGCCCCACATTGGGCTCTTTGCTCAGCGGGGAATCTGCTTCTCCCTCTGCCCTTTACCCTGTTCATGCTCACTCTTTCTCACTCTCTCTCTCAAATAAATAAGTAACATCTTTTAAAAAAATGTGTCATGTGCTATTTTCTCCGTCTGCTCCTCATCCTGCTCATGATTGCTCTCTCTCTCTAATAAATAAACAAAATCTTTAAAAAAAAAAAAAAAGAAAGCTGTCATGTGCTATTAATGATCTGTATTTGAAGTTGCTCTTTGTTTCAATACCATCGACCTACTAATTAGGACTATAATCTGGGGTCAGTTTTATTTTTCATAATCTCAGTTTTGTTCATTGCTAAATTGGGGTTAATAAAAATCTATCACCCATGATTTCCATGAAAATTCATTGAGCAAACAGAATTGGTGTTTACTTGTTTAATGCATCTCCACTACTATATGCTCTTCTAGGCACCAACTCTGTTTTGATTTCCATTGTGTGTCTTGTGGTGACAAGACAAGAATTGTGGTGGGGTTTAGGAGATGCTCAGTAAATATTGGTGGAATATTGATTGTTGAGTGGACTTGGGAGTCAGACATGCTGAGTTCTGAGCTTTTGCTGCATCACTTACTAGCTGTGTGAACTTGAACATGTTTTTTACCTTCTCTGTATCTTCATTTCTACATTTGTAAAATAATAATGGTGGTAATAATACATTTAATATGGTTGTAGCAAAGATTGAATGATATCTGCCCATAAAGAAATCAGTTCAGTGGATGGTTAATGATGTGCTAGTGAAGATGACCATGTTACCTAGAAACACTGATGTCCATGATATTATTATTGGAAACCAGAAATATATTCCAAAATTAAGAACTACTTACTTAAAAAAATAGCTATGAAGCTCCAATGAGGGAAATTAATGAAGTAGAATCTGCACACTTGCTTTTAGCTACATATTTTTATCCTGTGGTGTGTTAATCCTTTTGGCAAGGAGAACAAAGAAGTTAATTCAATTTATGCTTAGATATGAATGACTTCAGGAGTTATTGTGTGTGTGTGTAATTGTATTTTAAAAGAAGACTCAAAGTAAGATCTATGCATTTCATTGTATGTAAATAATACTTAAAAAAACTGTATACAAATATGGAACTATGATTAATGACACACATGCTGCATGATTTGGGGGTAAACTGTCCTGATGTCTGCGACTTACTCTGAAATGCACTTAAATATATGATGCATTGATGAGCGGAGAGATGCCTAGATATGTGATAAAAAAAATACAGTTGAGCCTGGAACAACATGGGACTTAAGTGTTGTCCAGCCCCATGTGGTAAAAGATCCATGCATAACTTATGACTTCTCTCACAACTTAACTACTGGTAGCCTACTTTTAATTAGAAGTCTTATTGATAACATAAACAGTTGATTAACACGTATTTTATATATTACATGTATTATGTACTGTATTCTTACAATAAAGTAAGCTAGAGGAAAGAAAATGTTACTAAGAAACTCACAAGAAAGACAAAATACATTTACAGTGCTCTACCATAAAAATTCCCACATATGAGTGGACCCATACAGTTCAAATCTGTGTTGTTCAAGTGTTAATTGGACAGCAAAATGCTCATTATATAATCTTAGTTATACTAACTAAGGGTTAGTGGTGTTCACTGTACCCTTTTATCAATACTTCCATATATTTGACATTTTTCATAATAAAATGTTGGGAGGAGGGGTACCTGGGTGGCTCAGTCAGTTAAGCATCTGCCTTTGGCTCAGGTCATGATCCCAGGGTCCTGGGATTGAGCCCTGCATGAGGGTCAGTGCTTGGCAGAAAGCCCATTTCTCCCTCTCCCTCTTTGCTCCCCCTGCTTGTGTTCCCTCTCTCACTGTCTCTCTCTGTCAAATAAATAAATAAAATCTTTATTAAAAAAATGTTGAGAGGAAAAAGAAAGTTGAGGGGCCCTAGGGAAAGGCAAGACCTAAGCCCAAGGAAGCCTCATTTGTGCTGGATTTCAGGCATGTGATACTTGTCAGTATCTATTTTAGGAAGACTTCCCTGATGCTCTCTTAATCACAGTCTCTAGAAAACCTCCAACACTACTGTGCCTTCATAATGCTGACCCACATGAAGGAAAGCAAGGTCTGAGTCGAAAAAATAGCAATAAAAAGAACATATGAAGAATGGGAGACAGAAGCAGGCTAGCCTTTGGCACTTTGGGGAACAACAAAAGTATTAGAATCTCAGGCATCCAGGATGGCTGAGAGAATTACGAGACTCTGATCTCTGGCTTTTAGGCCTTTTATCAGACATATTATCTTCCATGTAGGTGAAAAATGTTAGAAATAATTGACCTTTTCATAAAGGTACAAAGGTACATGTGGGCCATTTTTTTGAAAGGTATCTATGATCTTTTTTTTTTTTAAAGATTTTACTTATTTTTTTTTTTTTTTAAGATTTTGTTTATTTATTTGACAGACAGAGATCACAAGCAGACAGAGAGGCAGGCAGAGAGAGAGAGGGAAGCAGGCTCCCTGCTGAGCAGAAAGCCTGATGTGGGACTCGATCCCAGGACCCTGAGATCATAACCTGAGCCGAAGGCAGTGGCTTAACCCACTGAGCCGCCCAGGTGCCCCTTACTTATTTATTTGACAGAGAGAGATCACAAGTAGGCAGAGAGGCAGGCAGAGAGAGAGAGAGGGGGAAGCAGGCTCCCCGCGGAGCAGAGAGCCTGATGCGGGGCTCTATCCCAGAACCCTGGGATAATGACCCAAGCCAAAGGCAGAGGCTTTAACCCACTCAGCCACCCAAGTGCCCGAAAGGTATCTATGATCTTAACTTAGGTTTTAGAATGGCAATTTGTGGAAAGACATAATAAGAAAGGATTTGATAAATTTAAGATTTTGTGTCAACTTCTTATAAGTTAGAATGTTTTGGAAATTTGGTGGTGATAAGTTTCAGGTTTATATGCACATAAATAATCAGTAACACACCTTGGTAGTCAAAGGAAATACAAGTATTTTCTCTTGGCTATTGGAGGTCCTGATGGAGTACAGGAAGACTAAGAAGAAGATGGGAAGGAGTGGCCATGCTATTGCACATCTGAACAAAAGGGTCATGGTTTTATCATGAGCTCATTCAAATGGCAGTTGTAAGGCCCATTTATTTGACTTTTTCTTCTGTTTACACAAATGGAAACACCCTGCAAGGTTTACTAAAAGCAGATGTATTAAATATCAACACTAAAAACTGGTTTAACCAGGAAACAATGATCATTAAAACACAAAAAGGAGAGATGGAACAAGAGTCAGGAGAGAGCAATGTGGCAACCCACAGGAATCCCAGGCAGGGCAAAAATATCCAAATCAAGGTTATAGCCAGTTACAATCAGTCACACTGGGAAGAGAGCAAATAACACTCACTTCTTTACCATTTGCTCAAGACACAGAACCAACTTCCTGCCTGTCTTTGACACCTCCTTGAGGATCCCAAGACTCTTAACAGCAGAACCCATTGGCTTGTCCTTTAAGGAAGGTCATAGTTGACAAGACCATGACACTCTGTGGCGTCAAGTGCTTAGGGCCCTGCCAGCACAGTGACCACCCTTATATGTGTTTAAAAAGTGCCCTCTGGGAGGATGAATGACAAAATGTGACTTTTCTTCTGGGCTGGCACAAGATTTGGGGAGGGGAGTGGTGGCTGGATTTCAGCCTATATCCACCGCTCAGCTTGGTCCTTTCGTGAAGTGCAGACACTCTGTAATTGTACATGGTGGCCCTGAAAACCTTTTTATCTGCTCTACTCTAGGTGTACCCTCTTTTACCAATGAGGAAGTTAAGTCCCAGAAGACTAAAACATCTCATATAAGGCTACAATATAAATAGTAATAGACTGCTCTTGGGAGAAAAGCCATTCCCAATGTGGGTCTTGGTCAATATCATTGCTTAAAGCACTTGCTTCACACAAAGTACTCTGCAGGTTCTAGGGGATGGTGGGCTGCATAGATGCCTAGATGTCTCCAACCTAACTCTGAAGGTAGGCAGTGCCTACTGTGTGCTGTCTGAGCACTGTCAACCATGAGAGCACAGAAGTTCACAAGAGAGCATAATAATCACTCCTTCCTTTGCAATTGGAGAAGGTTACACTGACATGAGACTTGAGTCAAATGAACAATGGATAGGACTCAGAAAACCAGAGACGATCCGGCAGGATTGTAAGGGAAGGAAGCAGTGTGCACGGTGGTGTGGGGAGAGGCTCCATGTTGGTGACCCCAGTCACTCCACAGCAACATGTCACTCACTCTCATTCCGTGTCCCCATTCTTAAGGGCAAACTTCACTGCAGACCACAAACCTCTTTTTGACAGAACTTATCCATCCCATGTCTCATGCACCCCAGGTCTGCTTTCTGAAGGGTGGTAGCTAGATATATAAGAGAATCTGGGGTTAAGTATTTGTGTATTAACCCATCCACATAACAGAGAGATATTATAATGAGGAATTTCTGGATATATTGCCATAAAACATTTCTAAAGCTTTTGGGATTTCAGGCAGGGAGAAAGAGCTTATATTTGATACCTATTGTAATGTAATAAATTCTCCCCCAAACTTAGGAACAGCAAATATTTATCTCACACAGTTTCCCACGATCAGGAATTCAGGAACCATTCAGCTGGTAGATCTGGTTTAGGGTGTTTCATGAAATTTCTATCAAAGGGTATTAGCCAGGGCTGTGTCATCCGAAGGCTTGACGGGGGCTGAAGGATTGGCCTATAAGCTTACTTATCTGGCTGTTGACAGGGGCTTCAGTTTCATGTGTATTTCCAAAGGAGAATATTCTCACAACTGGCCTGCCCCAGAATGAGTGATCAAAGAAAGAAAGAACAAACAGAAAGCTCAGTGGCTTTTATGACCTAGTCTCTGACATAGCATCACTTCTGCTATATTTTACTGGTCACTCAGACCCCCCAGGATACAATGTGGAAAGAAATTATAGAAAGGGATAAATAAAGATTGGGGCCAATGGGGACAATTTCAAATATTCTGGTACTACTGAATCATATTTTGGGGGCACTAGAGCTTTCAAAACATATACCACAGGGAATATGATGCTCTGGATATCGTAAAAGTTTCCTTCTTTAAAACGTCTAAATATTCTTCTTCTTTTTTTTCAAAGATTTTATTTATTTATTTGAGAGAGAGAGAGAGCATGAGTGAGAATGAGAGCATGAGCAGGTGGGAGGGGCAGAAGGAGAAGCAGACTCCCCCCTGAGTAGGAAGCCCTTGGGGCTCAATACCAGGATCCTGGGTTCATGACTTGAGCCACCCAGACACCCTAAGCACCTAAATATTCGTAATAAAAATGTTCAAAAACCTTTAAGAATGCACTGTAATGCTTACTGGAACAAGGAGAGGCAAAATAAACAAGCAAATGAGGAACTATGAATCCAGAGAAATAAATGAGTGTTTAAGCTGAAGCCTGCCCTGGTGGCATCTGTCTACCCTCAGGTGACTCAAAGAGTGTGTTTAATGTCTGCATGGTAAGCATGAGACAAAGTCTAGGGGAACCGGAGAAGTCAGATCAGAGACCTTATAAATTACCCTGGACCCCAAAGGACGTCCCCTCAGTGACAGTCTAATATCTTTTTTAAAGTAGGCTCCATTTGAGGCATGGGGCTCAAACTCACAACTCTGAGATCAAGACCTGAGCCAAGATCAAAGGTTGGATGCATAACTGACTGAAACATCTAGGTGCCCCTCCTCAGTGACAGTTTAAACCAGGAATTTCTGGGACTCCATTTCCTCAGTGAAGAGGCTAGAAAGGAAACTTGCCCATCTTGACCCTGGCTTCTAGATAGCAGGAGGAAAAATCTGAGACTCTATAACCACACACTAACGTCTATGCAAGCTTGCAGCCAAGTTGACACTCTCAGGACAGTTTGAAAAACCCAAGTTGATCATTTGTTTTCATGGGGCCCAGAGTTGGCAACACGCTCAGTGGAGAAATAAATCAAATCCTCACAGAAGGCATCACCCTTATCAAAAGCCTCAGAGATTTCCAGATACACCATTTCATTGAACTGGGGCTCGTGATTAAAAAAAAAAAAAAAAAATCACGGTATACTCGAGGTATTGAAGCATCATTAGAGAGAACCAACAGAAACCCCAGAGAGCAGATCAGGCTGACAACACTTCAGATATTTGGCTATTGATTCTGGAATAAATTTAAGTTTATTTAATACACTTGACAAAGAAAAGACATTATCAAATGGAGGAGTGAAAAATAAGAGACCATTGAATGACTGCTTCTATTTGATAATCAAACAGAATGTCCACAAGTGAAAATTAAATTTAATAAAAGTTTAAAAAAAATCATTGCGTTTTAAAGGGTTATAGAAGTGCCCACGTGATATCTTTGATTTTTTGCCTCTTGGCTCATAGAGCCTAAACTATTTACAACTGGGCCCTTTACAGAAAAATCCCTGGGCAATCCCTGCCATACAGAAGCCTGTGTAGGAGACCCTCAGTCATCCTGAGATGTCATTCTAAGGTTGACAGTATAAGGAGTAGCCACACTGGTCAAGGTTGACCACTGAGCAGGTGGTCGGGAGGATGAGGGGAGACTGAGGGAGGCCAGCAAGCCTCAGGGGGACACAGGCTTGGGTCTCAAAACAGAAGGGAGCCTAGTTTTATGTATCCATTAAGCATAGATGAATGTATATCTTGAATGACCTCTGAAAAATGTGGGAACCTAGAAGCCTTTCTTTTTTAACTTTTATGTATGGGTTGAGGGAAATAAATCTTAGTTCGAGTTGGAGCCTCAAGAGTTTAACACGTGTGTGTGGGGGAGTCTGGCGTAGAAAGATACTGGTCCACGTACTAATTATTAAGCAATTATGGATGGCACTCAGCAAACAGAGCACATTAAGAAGGAAAGGGAGAAAGGGGATTTCTTTGCCTGAGTCATGCATCTCAAGCTGCATATCCTTAGGTGCTCTCTAATTGCCAAATAGGGATTAAGACCAAGTGGTTCTTTTATGGCCATTGGGTATGCCGGGAATGGGTCTCAAAGCTGTTTCTAAACACCGAGTGCTGACATGTTTGCCCTGGGAGGAGTGAGGGAGGGGCAGGACGCTGGCAGGAAGGTTGAGATGACCCCAGGGCAGTAGGAGCTGCAGGAAGCCAGTAAGGGAAGTGATTTGGGGAAAGGAAAGCAAGAGGCTCGCCACACCCCAGGCCTCTCCTTTGAAGATGGACACCACACCCAGCCTGTCCAAGTTTCCCCTAGCATGCACGCTCATCTTTCCCTGGTTTTTCAGAATGAGCGAGCAAGGATGGAGTCGTAGAACGTGGAAACTGGCTCTGAGCAGTTGTCTTCTGAGCCTCTGTTACATGCCACGTGCTTTACACATCAATGTCACAGAGTAAATATTAGCCTTCCCATTTTGCAGATGAAGCCAAGAGGCAGATAGAGACATTAAGAACTGTGTCCAGGGACACAGAGCAAGTTAGCGATGAATTCAAGTCTCCCTCCAAAACTCAACTCTTTCTGCCCTAACAAGCAGATATAGCCAAGAGCCACACAAAAGGAGTGACCCTAGTCCTCTGGCAAGAACAGGAAAAAAAAAAAAAACAGAAAATTAAGCCCAGTTACCCTGACTCCCACATATGCCCTTGTCTGTCGTCCAGGATTACTCTGCTAAACAGAGAAATTTGCCCCCAAAGGTCTCTAGTGACCTACCATGGTTTTTTCTGTCTGACATGTTAGCTCAACCCCCAGTGTAGCAAATGGATGCAGGAACCAAGAGAAGAAAAAGTCCTCTTATTAGGAAGCTGCTGTGAAAATACTCATATGTTGGAAGTGGAGAGTGCAGATGGTCTACTGAGACTTTCTGTTGGGAGAGATATACTAAGTAACTCAGCTGAGAAAAAGCCAAGAGAGCCTAATGTGGATGCTGGAGAGATTGCTGGCCAGCACAGAGATTGAGGAAGAGTTCAGTGGGTGCAGAGAGTAGATCAACGTAACTCCTCAGCGAGGAGAGGAGGTCTGAGGCCAGTGTGTGGAGACAGACTTCATTCACCAGCTTTAAGACGCTCTGGAAAGCCGGGCCTGGCTTTCATCTTCTACTGGAGAGGCCAGAATTACGACAAGCATTCTAGCAAAGGATCAAGAGAAGGGAGAGAAAGAGCACTGTGATGGTTAATTTTATGTGTCACTTTGAGTAGGCCAGAGTTGTTTAGCTATGTGGTTAAACGTTATTCTGGGTAGGTCTGTGAGGGTATTTCCAGATGAGGTTAATGTCTGATTCGATATACAGAGTAAAGCAGAGTGTCCTTCCCAGTGTGGGTGGGTTTCATTCAATCTGTCAATAACCTGGTTGAGCACACAACCTGCGCCACAGACCCTGCCTGCACACAGGAGGGTCTGCACTTGGTACTCTGCTGGTACAGTCTTGAAATTCTTAAGTTTCGAATGCCCCTCCCCCATTTTCATGTTGCTCAAATTATGTAGCTAGTCCTGAATGGACAGGTGTGGTTGTGTCCCTTGGAGAAGTGTCTGTAACGGAGGTGGGAAGTGACAGAGTTAGCTCTTGCTGCATAAAATCCTGGACGGTGTTCCCCCAACTGTCCCTTGGTTCCCCCACCCGTGACTGACATAGGAACTGGGGATTCAAGTTTCTGCTTTGAAGGGCTACATAAAGGAAAGAAGCAAAATTCTGATGACACAAAGCTAAAGAAGATTCTTGGTGAAAACAGCATGGACTCCTTCTGATCCCTCAGGCTGAGTTTCATAACCCTTTGCCACATACACCCTTTTCTTCAGGGCTAAGAGGTTGAGAAATGTGAACCGTCTGGCAAGGCCTTCCTCCCGCACAGAGAGAATAAGCACCTTTATTGTATGACCTCCCCAAGGCAGAAGGTGGTGAATCAAGCCCATTTTGTTGGCAGGATCGTCAGAGCTGAGTTGGGGAGGAGGTTCTCAGGTTCCAGGACTGCGCTTGGTCAAACTGTGCAGGTCAGTACCAGATCTAGAGAAGCTTCCAACAGCTCATGATTTTCTTGGGAGACAATCTCAAGCACATCATAGCCAGTATTCTAAGCATTTTACAACTTCAGGTAATCCCATTCCCCTTACTCCAGGAAACCCAACCCTACAAATGACAAAGCTTCCCACACTGCAGTTCAGACTTTAAGGTGGTTGGTGGAAGCCAGTGGCTAGTCAAGCCCAGTTTTAAACAGTGTCTTGGCTGCCTTTATGTAGATGTAAATACTGCTCCTGTAATTCCTTATGGCCTCAACTTAGATGGTTTTCGTGAACAGATTTTTCTTCTGCCCACTCCTGACACAGGCACGCACGTGAACACATGGCATGCTAACACGCTCAGTAGTCTGCATTCTTTCTTTTAAAAAGAGTGTCACTTTTCTTTGGGAATATTTTCCTTCCCCAAGCCCTGTGTTCTTTGTGGAATCACTGGTTCTTGTGGCAGAATGTGATCCCAGTCCTCATTTCCCAAAGGCCCCATCCATGAGTTCTGGTTACCAAGATCCCCAGAACTGCTTGCATTTCTTTCTTTCCTTCCTTTCCCCCTTCCTTCTTTTCTTTCTTTCTGACTTTATTTATTTATTTGACAGAGAGAGAGAGAGAGAGAGAGAGAGGGAACACAAGCGGGGCAGAGAGAGAGGGAGAAGCAGGCTCCCCACAGAGCAGGGAGCCTGAAGTGGGGCTCGATCCCAGGACTCTGGGATCATGACCTGAGCTGAAGGCAGTGGCTTCACAAAATGAGCTCCCCAGGTACCCCGCCATATATGAGAGGGTTTATTTCTGGGCTCTATGGTTTTTCACTGATCTATGATTTATTAGTTCCTTCCTTTTGTTAGCTGTGGGTTAAGTTTGTTCTTTTTCTATTTCCTTGAGTTGTTAAGTTAGATTATAATTTGAAATCCTTCTATTTTTTAATATACATCTTTATAGCTATAAAGTTTCTCCTTAGTACAACTCTCTCAGGTATCACATGACTTGGTGTGTTGTGTTTTCATTTCCTTTCATGTGAACTATTTTCCAGTTTACCTTGTAATTTCTTCTTTGAGCCATTGGTTGTTCAAGGGTATGCTGTTTAATTTCCTCAAGTTTGTGAATTTTCCAGTTTTACTTCTCTTACTGATTTCTAACTTCAACTTGTTGTGGTTGGAGAAGATACTTTGTATGATATCTATCTTTTAAAATTTACTTAGATGACTTGTCGTCTAACTTATGCTCTGTCCTGGAAGATGACCTATGTCTACTTAAGCAGAACACATATGCTATAGTTGTTGGATAGTGTGTTCTGCATGTCTGTTAGATATAGCTAGTTTGTTGTATTGGGCCTCTTGCCTTACTTGCCTCCTGTATGGTTGTTCTATTCATTCTTGAGAGTGGGTTATTGAAATCTCTAACTACTTTTGTAGAATTGTCTATTTCTCCTTTCAAATTCTATTAGTTTTTGCTTCATATATTTTGATGGTCTGTTATAAGGGGCATAGATATTTATAACTTTTATCTTGTTATATTTAATCTTTTATTAATTCTTCTTCTCCTTCTTTGTGTTTTGTATTTTTTTTGTTTTGAAACAAAACAAAATAGTGATATTAGCATAGCCACCTCTGTTCTTTTTTGGTTACTATTTGCATGGAATATCTTTCCCCATCATTTAGATTTCAATCTGTTTGTTTTTTTAGACCTAAAGTGAGTCTCTTGTAGACAGCATATGGCTGGATCATGTTTTTGTTTTTTAAATCCATTTTGCCAATTGAAGAGTTTGATCTACTTACATTTTAGGTAACTACTAATAAGGAGGGACTGTCTTCTGTCATTTTGTGGTCAAATACCCTACCCATGAGCTATTCCCCTTCTGTGATTTTGAAATTTGTTTTCTGCATGGCTTAGAGCTTTTTATCCCTTATATCCCGCATTACTTGATTAATTTAATTGATTTATTTAATTGATTTTTTGGTAGTGAAATGTTTAAATTTTTTCCCATTTCCTTTGTGTATATTCTATAGGAATTTTCCTTGTGGTTACCATAGAAATTCAAAGATATAATGTGAATATACATGCACATATATAATGTAAACTTTACTGACTTAACTTGAATAACATACAAAAATTCTCCTCCTTTATAAGAACTCTGTTCCCATCCTTTTTGTTTGTTGGTATCACAAAATTACATTTTTATACATTGTGTAACCAAAATATAAATTAATAATTCTTTTAAATGCATTAGTCTCTCAAATTATATAGAAAACAAAATGTGGAATCAAAAACTAAAGTTACAATGGTACTAGCTTTCAGACTAGCAATTATTATTTTTAGAAAATATATTAGTCTCAAGTCACATAGAAAACAAAAAAGTAGAGTTATAAGCCATTATTTCAATGATACTAGCTTTTATAATTGTTGATGCCTTTACCTTAATTTAGTTCCTTATTTCTTCATGCAGCTTTGAGTCACTGTCTAGTATTCTTTTATTTCAGTCTGCAAGTGTTCCTTGAGCATTTCTTATAGGACAGGTCTAGTAGTAACAAACTTCCTCCCAGTTTTTGTTTATTTGGGAATGTCTTACTTTCTCCCTCATTGTCTTTGAAGGACAGTTTTGCTAATTAAAAGTCTTGGTTGACGGTTTTTTCTTTCAGCCCCTTGAATATATTGACTCAATACTTTCTGTCCTCCAAGTTTCTGATGAGAAATCAGCCTTTGAAAGTTTGATTATAATGTGTCTCAGTATGGGTCTTAGTTAGAGTTGTTTGGGCTTCTTGGATGTGTATATTCATGTCTTTCACCAAACTTGGGAAGTTTTCCACCAATGTTTCTTCAAATAGTCCTTCTCCTCTTTTCTGTCACTCTTATCCTTCTGGAACTCTCACATTGCATATGTTGATCTGTTTGATGGTGTCCCCAGGTCCTTGAGACTATAAGCACTAAAAGTGCTTACTTTTCTTCAATCCTGTTTCTTTCTGTTCCCTCAACTCAATAATTTCCATTGCCCTATGTTCAAATTTACTAATTCTTTCTTTTGTCTTTTCAGATCTGTCTTTGAATCCCTCTAGTACATTTTTTCATTTCAGTAATTATACTTTTCAGCTCCAGAATTTCTTTTTGGTTTCTTTTTTAATCTCTTTATTTATATTTCCATTTTGTTCACCTATTATTTTATTTACTTTCTCCACATCTTTCTTTAGGTTTTTTGAGCATCTTTTAGACAGTTGTTTTAGTCTTTATCCAGTATATTTGTTATCAGGTCTTTTTCAAAGATAGTTTCTGTTGATTGATTGATTTATTTTTTCTTTGAATGAATTATCCTTTCCTGATTCTTTGTATGTCTTAGAGTTTTTTTATTTGACACTGAACATTTGAGGCTAATAATGTAGTAATTCTGGAAGTCAGATTCTTCATCTTCCTCAGAGTTTTATGTTTTTTTGCTATTGTTTTTATTTATTGTGTTTTTGATTGTTGTAAGCCTTCTCTGTCTCAAAGATTAGCCTGAGATGTAAACATAGGTCTTTTCTGAGCCTGTGTCTTTCCTTGGGCATGTGTGATCACTTTGCAATTTTCCCTCTCTATAGAGTTACTTTTGAATGTCCTAATATTTGCTCCCCAAAAGGGAAAAATTAAAAAATGAAGAAGGGGCAAAAAAGGCACCTACTAGGTCCCCTGGAAGTCAATTTAGCTGAAGGATAGGACCTTGAAATAATATTGGAGGTATAACAACAGTTGGTGCCTATCTCTTTGAACTTCTGTGATGAGAAGCAGCAATCACTGATTAGGACACAGATCCCTGATATTTGAAGTACAGAGTCTTTTCTACCTACCCTGCTCCCACAAGGTGTGTGCCAGCTGCTCCAGGAGCATGTGCACAGCTGTAGATTTGAGAT